AAAAATAAAAAAAATTTACATTCCCATTAACAGTATATGAGATATATGAGAGTTCCTCTTTCTCTACAACCTTGTCAGCATTTGCTACTGCCTCACTTTTGGATAAAAGGCATTTTAACTAAGGTGAGATGACATCTCATTGTTTTTATTTGCATTTCTCTGATATCAGTGATGTTGAGCACCTTTTCATATATCTGCTTGGCATTTATATGATTTCTTTGGAGAAATGTCTATTCAGATTTTTTGCACATTAAAAAATTAAGATTATTAGATTTTTTCCTATAGAGTTGTTTGAGCTCCTTCAATATTCTGGTTATTAATCCCTTGTCACATAGGTAGTTTGCAAATATTTTTTCTCATTCTGTGGGTTGTCTTTTCACTTTACTGATTGTTTCCTTTGTTGTGTGAAAGCTTTTTAACTTAATATGATCCCATTTGTCCATTTTTGCTTTGGTTACCTGTGCTCAGATCAATGTCCTGGAGACTTTCCCCAATGTTTTCTTGTAGCAGCTTCATAGTTTGAGGTCTTAGATTTAGATTTTTAATCGTTTTGATTTGATTTTTGTGTATGGCAAGAGACAGGGGTCTAGTTTCATTTTTTTGCATATGGATATCCAGTTTTCCTAGCACCATTTATTGAAGAGATTGTCCTTTCCCCAATGTATATTCTTGGTACCTTCATCAAAAATGAGTTCACTGAAGATGTATGGATTTATCTTTGGTTCTCTATTCTGTTCCACTAACCTATATGTCTGTGCTTATGCTAGTACCATGCTGTTTTTGTTACTATAGCTCTGTAGTATAATTTGAAGTGATTCTTGTAATGTGATAATTACAGGAATGTGATTCTTGTAATTTTTGCTTAGGATAGCTTTGGCTATTTTGGGTCTTTTGTAATTCCATATAATTGTTTTTTTGAGATGGAGTCTCACTCCATCACCCAGGCTGGACTACAATGGCACAATCTCGACTCACTGCAAACTCCACCTCCTGGGTTCACGAGATTCTCCTGCCTCAGCCTCCCAAGTAGCTGGGATCACAGGCGCCTACCACCATGCCTGGCTAATTTTTATATTTTAAGTAGAGACAGGGTTTCACCACATTGGCCAGGCTGTTCTTGAACTCCTGACCTCAAATGAACCACCTGCCTTGGCCTCACAAAGTGCTGGGATTACAGGTGTGAGCCACCACGCCTGGCCAATTTCATATAAATTTCAGGATGGTTTTTTCTATTTCTGTGAAGAATGTCATTGGTATTTTGATAGGGATTTCAAAAAATCTGTAGGTTGCTTTGAGGAGTATGGGCATTGTAACAATATTGAGTCTTTCAATCCATGAATGTGGAATATCTTTCCATTTTTTGTGTCCTCTTCAAATTTTGGCATCAGTATTCTATAATTTTCATTGTAGAGATCTTTTGCTTCTTTGGTTAAGTTAACCCCTAGGTATTTTATTTTATTTGTAACTATTGTAATGGGATTACTTTCTTGATTTCTTTTTCAGATTTTTTTTTTTTTTTTTTTTTTTTTAGACTGAGGCTCTCTCTGTTGTCTATGCTGGAGTGCAGTGGCCCCATCTTGGCTCACTGCAACCTCCACTTCCCAGGTTCTAGCAATTCTCATGCGTCACCCTCCCAAGTGGCTGGGACTACAGGCATGTGCCACCATACCTGGCTAATTCTTTGCTGTTGGCAAATAGAAATGCTAATGATTTTCTTTTCTTTTCTTTTTTTTTTTTGAGACGGAGTTTCGCTCGTTACCCAGGCTGGAGTGCAATGGCGCGATCTTGGCTCACCGCAACCTCCGCCTCCTGGGTTCATGCAATTCTCCTGCCTCAGCCTCCTAAGTAGCTGGGATTACAGGCACGAGCCACCATGCCCAACTAATTTTTTGTATTTTTAGTAGAGACAGGGTTTCACCATGTTGACCAGGATGGTCTCAAACTCTCGACCTCGTGATCCACCCGCCTCGGCCTCACAAAGTGCTGGGATTACAGGCTTGAGCCACCGCGCCCGGCCAGAAATGCTACTGATTTTCATATGTTGACTTTGTATCCTGCAACTTTACTGTATTTATCGGTGCTAATAGTTTTTCAGTGGAGTCTTTAGGTTTTTCCAAATATAAGATTATATCATCTGCAAACACAGATAATTTGACTTCTTCCTTTCCAATTCAGATGCCCTTTATTTCCTTCTCTTGTTTGACTGCTGTAGCTAGGACTTCCAGTACTATGTTCAATAATAGCGGTGAAAATGGGCATCCTTGTCTAGTAGCTTTCTGAAAACAGATACATGGAAAGCAAATGTCTAAAAAGTTCTCATTCTACTCTCATATTTGATTGATAGTTTGATTAGACAGAATTAGGAATGTTAAAGGCATTGTTTATTTATAGTTTCCAGTGTTGATGCTAGGAAGTTCAAAACTGTTTTAATTCCTTTGTATATGATATCCTCTCTCCTTTCCGGAGGCTTGTAAGATCTCTTTGTTACCAGTCATAAAATTTCACAATGAAAACCCTGGTATGCTTCTTTTCATCCATTTTCCTGTCATTCTTTCAGTCTAGAAACCCGGCTCCTTTTATCCTCGGAAAATTAAAAAAAACATTTCACTGATGTTTTCTTCCCCCTTCATTTCTCTGTTCTTTCTTTCTAGAACTCCATGTTCTAATTCAGAGGTGTTAATTCATTAATTATATTTAATTATCTTTGTATTTCATTTCTATGAGATTCTAATATCTTTATTTTCTTTCTTTCCTTCCTTTCCTTCTTCCCTCCCTCCTCTCTCTCTCTCTCTTTCTTTCATTTTTTGAGACAGGGTCTCACTTTGTCACCCAGCCTGGAGTGCAGCAGTACAACATGGCTAACAGCAGCCTAAACCTGCTGGGCTCAAGTGATCCTCCAACCTCAAAGATTCTAATTTCTTTTTTCTTTTTTTTTTTTTTTGAGACGGAGTTTCGCTCTTGTTACCCAGGCTGGAGTGCAATGGCGCAATCTCGGCTCACCGCAACCTCCGCCTCCTGGGCTCAGGCAATTCTCCTGCCTCAGCCTCCTGAGTAGCTGGGATTACAGGCACGCGCCACCACGCCCAGCTAGTTTTTTGTATTTTTAGTAGAGACGGGGTTTCACCATGTTGACCAGGATGGTCTCCATCTCTTGACCTCGTGATCCACCCGCCTCGGCCTCCCAAAGTGCTGGGATTACAGGCTTAAGCCACCGCGCCTGGCAAGATTCTAATTTCTTAAATGATTTTCTTTTTTACCTAGATCACTGAGTATCTCAAACCATCCCTGTATGTCAATAATTTGATTTTTCAGTGGTGTCTACTCTGTTCTTTTGTTATTTTAAAATTTATTAACTCTGTAATTTAATCCTTATTTTTTACTTATTTTTTATTTTTTTATTTTTGTCTTTTTCTTTTTTTATTTTAGTTCTTTTTTACTTCTATAATATCCTCTTTTATTTCATTTTGTTGTTTATCATCTCATTACTGAACTTTTGTTTATTAAATTCATGTTAATAAGAAGTTTTGTGGTTATACAGTTGAATAGTTTTAAGAAAATTTCTTCTATTTCTTGAGTTATGTTTTTTTCAGGATAGGTTCTTTGTCTTTTACAGGACATTTTTTCTTGCTTTCGTTTTCTGTAGTATATTTGTACAGCTGACATTCTGACTCTTTTGATCTTGTTCATGCTTAGTGTTTTATTTGTTTTGATATAATATAAATGAATTGTTGTCTCTTATCCTTCTTTATCTGAGACCAGCTACCATGTAAGTGCTGGTGTAGGGGAATTGGAACTCTTATGCACTGTTGGTGGAGTGTAAAATGGTGAAAATGCTATGGAAATAGTATGTAGGTTCCTCAGAAAATTAAACATCATAGTTCTCTACCATTTGATCCAGTAATCGCACTTCTGGATATACATCCAAAAGAACTGAAAGCAAGGTCTTGAAGAGATGTCTGTATACCCATGTTCACTGTAGCACTATTCACAATAGCCAAGAGGAGGCAGCAACCCAAATGTCTGTCAGTGGATAAATAGAAGAAAATGTCGTACATATATACAGTGAAATATTATTCAGCCTTAAAATAAAAAGGAAATCCAGTTATATGCTACAACATGGACAAATCTTAAGGACATTATGCTAAGTAAAATAAGCCAGTCACAAAAGGACAACTATTGTATAATTTCACTTACATGAGGTATTTAAAGTAGAATTGTGGGTAGTAAGGGCTTGTTGAGAGAAGGAAAAGTGGAGCTGTTGCCTGACGGGTATAGAATTTCAGATTTGTAAAATCAAAGTTCTCGAGATCTGTTTCACTACAATGTGAACACATTTAACACTACTGAACTGTTGACTTAAAAATGGCCACTTAGAATGGGCCAGGTGTGGTGGCTCATGACTGTAATCCCAGCACTTTGGGAGGCCAAGGCAGGTGGATCACTTGAGGTCAGGAGTTTGAGAACAGCCTGGCTGACATGGTGAAACTCCGTCTCTACTAAAAATGGGCGTGTTGGTGCATACCTGTAATCCCAGCTACTCAGGAGGCTGAGGCAGGAGAACCACTTGAACCAGAGGCTGCAGTGGGCCAAAATTGCGCCACTGCACTCCAGTCTGGGTAGCAGAGAGAGACTCCGTCTCAAAAAAAAAAAAAAAAAAAAGTTAGAATGGTACATTTTATGCTATGTGTTTTTTTAACCACTTTTTTTTTTTTTTTAAAGAGGGTTTTATAACACTTCGGAAAGACAGTCCTGTTCTCCCCACAGCTGCTTTGCCTTACTCTTATGCAGGATTTGGCTCTACCTTGGCAAGAAAAGACAGGGAAACAGGCGAACGCAGTGAAGAAAAGCCTTCATGCTGTCTCATGGGAAAAACACCACATACTTTTGTCAGTTTCACACAGTATAATCTAGTTTTCATTCCCTCTTTCCCATCCACTGGGTGGTTTTATTTTGTTTTAAGACAAGAAGAATTGCCAGAAGAAAAAAACCCTAGGGCTTACTTCTGTAGGATGGATCCCTTAATGACCAGTTCTTCATCCAAGTCTGCTTCATTAGCCATGAAGAGCAGCCTCTTTCCTGTGCTGTCCACTCCAATGAAGTCACGCTGCTCCACTGAATCATCCAAAAGAAAAAAAAAAAGTCAAATAAAGCCATTTGCCCTGCAAGCATGACTAAGCCAGGGAACAGAATATCTGCTTAGTGCTCTTGGAACCAATACAGGATTGAAGGGTGGGTGCAGTGGCTCATGCCTGTAATCCCAACACTTTGGGGGGCCAAGGTGGGCGGATAATGACACCAGGAGTTCAAGACCAGCCTGACCAACATGGTGAAACCCCGTCTCTACTAAAAATACAAAAATTAGCCAGGTGTGGTGGCGTGTGCCTGCAGACCCAGCTACTGAGGAAGCCGAGGCAGGAGATTCGCTTGAACCTGGGAGATGGGGGTTGCAGTGAGCCGAGATGGCACCACTGCACTCGAGCCTGGGTGACAGAATGAGACTCTATCTCAAAAAAAAAATAAATAAATAAATAAATAAATAATAAATAAATAAATAAATAAAATTATTTATTTAGATCACTCCTTTTTTAAAAAAAGAATTTTCTGTCTGCAAATAATAACGTAGGTCTTCTTACTGTGGAAATGGGACTAATATTATTTAAAGTAATCTACATTCAACCAACATTAACTACACTAGATTCTATGCTATGTATAAGGCATTAAAAAAAAAGTGGGAGGCCAGGCGCGGTGGCTCAAGCCTGTAATCCCAGCACTTTGGGAGGCCGAGGCGGGTGGATCACCAGGTCAAGAGATCGAGACCATCCTGGTCAACATGGTGAAACCCCGTCTCTACTAAAAATACTAAAAAAATTAGCTGGGCATGGTGACGTGTGCCTGTAATCCCTCTGAGACAGGAGAATTGCCTGAACCCAGGAGGCGGAGGTTGCGGTGAGCCGAGATCGTGCCATTGCACTCCAGCCTGGGCAACAAGAGCGAAACTCCGTCTCAAAAAAAAAAAAAAAAAAAAAAAAAAAAAGTGGGAGGCTGAGGCAGGTGAATCATGAGGTCAAAAGATTGAGACCACCTTGGCCAACATTGTGATATCCTGTCTCAACTAAAAATACAAAAAAAAAAAAAAAAAAGCTGGGTGTGGCCTGAGCTGGTAGTCCCAGCTACTCCAGAGGCTAAGGCAGGAGAATCGCTTGAACCTGGGAGGCAGAGGTTGAAGTGAGCTGAGATCTCACCACTGCACTCCAGCCCAGTGTCAGAGTGAGACTCTGTCTCAAAAAAAGAAAAGTGCATGTTTTATTATACGTGAAGAGTTCTCAGTAGACAATGATCTTACAGGCTGCTATATTATTGCTGTTTTCTATGTCATACTTCTCTTCCCCAACTAGATTGTAAACTCTTCAAAGGCAGACTTCTGATTCTTTTATATTTCCCATAAACCTTGTACAGTGTTACATACTTAATAACATGTGCTACTAATTTCTGTACAGTATCTATAGCTTACAGAAACATTTTCACATAGTGACAAAATAGCATAAGGATTAAAAACAGAACTTCTGGAGCCAGACAGCTCAGCCAATTACTAGTTTATGTTAGAGCAAGTTACTTAACCTCTCTGTTCCTCAGTTTCGTCTACAAAATGGGGATAATAATAGTGTTTGCCTCACAGGTTTATTATGCAGATTAAATGTATTAGTATTTGTAAAGCATTTATAATAGTGTTATTAATCAAAACATTAAATAAAATGTTAAGTTAAAAAAATTAAACAGGCTAGGCATGGTGGCTCACCCCTGTAATCCCAGCACTTTGGGAGGCCAAGGCGAATGGATCACAAGGTCAAGGGATCGAGACCATCCTGGCCAGTGTGATGAAACCCCACCTCTACTAAAAATACAAAAACTAGCTGGGTGTAGTGGTGCGCCTGCAGTCCCAGCTACTTGGGAGGGTGAAGCAGGAGAATTGCTTGAATATGGGAGGCGAAGGCTGCAGTGAGCTGAGATCACGCCACTGCAAAGAGCAAGACTTCGTCTCAAAAAAAAAAAAAAAAAAAAAAGTAAATAAAATACATCCTCTAATTTAGCCCTCAAAACAACCAAATGAAGCAATGCCTCAACACCTCTTTATAAAGGAGAAACAGAAAGTTTAGCTCTAGGAAAAATGAGATCTGTAAAGATGAATTTGCTTCCTACTGACAGACAGTGGCTGCTAAGTTAACAGAATTTGTTTCACTGTTGGCTAAAGCTGCCTGTATACCTATAACCAAATATATTATTCAATTGTGCGATATGTTTAGCTCAGGTACTTGAAACCATTCAAGATCACCAATTAGATGGTCTCTATATGCAGTGTTAGAATATAAATGAGGAAAAAAATTATGAAAAATTATATGTTGGGATTTTTTGTTCAATAACTAAGTGAAATTCAAAAAAGGAAGAGCAAATATTGCCAATCTGAAGCTAAATTTTGCAGAGAATTTTAAATGCCACATAGCAGCTTAGACATATATCAATTTACATATTACATGGAAACTCGAGAATGTAACAAAGTCTGTAAAGGTCTCATTATAAGCCAGCCATTTAAAAAAGAAACACAGAGATGTTATTTTTGGATATAATTTGGAATGCTTACCCTACCCAAGTCCTAAGGCTCACAGAAACCTTGAATCACTGATGTCCTGCGAGGAATAATTACCAGCCAGCCAATTTTTCAGCTATGTTGCACATTAGTCACATTTCTCTCCCTCTCAGGCCCTCCACCTTGTATTGCTTCTTTGCAGCTATCATAGTAACTGGGACTTCAGAATGTGATACAAATTATAGACACTTGGAAAGGTTTCTTTCTGTTCTGCTTTAGTAAAATGAATTTCACTTTGGGAGCAGAGTAGTTAACTATAGATTGTCTTCCTATGAAGAAAGACTACGCAAACTTAAAAAAGCATATAAAACTAAACTTCTATTTTTAAAAATCTGTCACATTCAAGTATTCATGTTTTTTCCTCTAGTTGATTTTTTTTTTTTTTTTGAGACGGAGTTTCGCTCTTGTTACCCAGGCTGGAGTGCAATGGCGCGATCTCGGCTCACCGCAACCTCCGCCTCCTGGGTTCAGGCAATTCTCCTGCCTCAGCCTCCTGAGTAGCTGGGATTACAGGCACGAGCCACCACACCCAGCTAATTTTTTGTGTTTTTAGTAGAGACGGGGTTTCACCATGTTGACCAGGATGGTCTCGATCTCTCGACCTCGTGATCCACCCGCCTCGGCCTCCCAAAGTGCTGGGATTACAGGCTTGAGCCACCGTGCCCGGCTCCTCTAGTTGATTTTTACTTCTCTGATTCTTCTGTCTTATCTACAGGCATTTGCTTATCCTTTCATTCCTTTATTCAATCAATAAATATATTTGTACACCTACCCTATGGCAGGTGCTATATCTAGAGTTGGGAATTCCAACTCATTTTATGAGGCCAGCATGATCCTGATGCCAAAACCAGGCAAGGATATTATGAGAAAGAAAAATTAGGCAAATTTATTCATTAGCAAGTCAAAATAGAATACTGAGTAAATTAAAAAGGGTCACAAACTTGTTGGAGCTCCTCCCATCCAAAGGAAAGGTCAATTCCCTATCCTTTATATCTGGGCTTGCTCAGTAACTAGCTTTGAACTAACAGAGTGAAGCTGAAGTGACAGTGTGTGTTCTGAGTTTAGGCCTCAAGAGACTTTGTAGCTTCTGGTGTCATTCTTAGAACCTGCTGTTGCTACCATGTAAACAAGCCTAGGTTACCCCCTGAATGGTAAGAGACTAGATGAAAAGAAAAATTCAGCTGTCAAGGCTGAGGCGCTCTCTCTCTCTCTCTCTCTCTCTCTCTCTCTCTATTTTTTTGGAGGTGCAGTCTTGCTCTGTTGCCCAGGCTGGAGTGCAACCGTGTGATCGTGGCTCACTGCAACCTACACCTCCCAGGTTCAAGCAATTCTTCTGCCTCAGCCTCCCAAGTAGGTGGGACCACAGGCATGTGCCTCCACGCCCAGCTAATTTTTTTATTTTTAGTAGAGATGAGGTTATGCCATGTTGGCCAGGCTGGTCTCAAACTCCTGACCTCAGGTGATCCACCTGACTCCCAAAGTGTACAGATTACAGGCGTGAGCCACTGGGCCCAGCCAAGGCTGTAAACATATTAATGAGCTCAGTTATGGGAGACTAAGATAAGAATGGCAGTTGCCTCCTGGTATTCACATCCTTGTGTATCCCTTCTTCGTGAGTGTGGGCTGGCCTAGTGACTTGCTCCTAACCAACAGAATGTGGCAAAGGTAATAAAATGTTATTTCTGTAATTAGGTTATATAAGATTGTGACTTCTTTCTAGAAGAGTCTCTTCCTTGCTGGCTTTGATGAAGTAAGTTTCCATGTTGGAAAGGCCTAAGTGATAAAGAAAGAAGGGTAGCTTCTGGCCAACAGCTTGGTGGAAACTGATGCTCAGTCCAATAGTCCTTAAGAAAATGAAATTCCTCCAATAACTAAGTAAGCTTGGAACCTAATCCCTTCCCAGTTAAGCCTTCAGATGAGACTCCAGCTCTAGCTGACATCAACAGCCTTCTGAAAGACTCTGGAAGACCCAGCTAAGCCACACCTGGATTCTTGGCCCACAGTGTTGTTTTAAACTGTTAAATGTGTGGCAAGTTTTATAAGTAATGAATTGTTAATACACTAGCTGATATCACTCGAACAGAGATGAGCCATCTCAACTAAACTTAGGCCAAACTGCCAACCTACAGACTCATAAGCAAGTAAATCTTTGTTATTTTAAACCATTAGAGTTTAGAAATGTTTGTTATGTAGTAAAAACTAATACAATGTGTGAAAGGACACAAGCCATAACCAAGTTAGGTTTATCCCAGGTATCATCACATCATCAGAGTAAAAGAGAAAAACCATACGACCACTTGAATAGATGCGGAAAAAGCATCTGATAAAATTTGTATACTTAGGCAAAGAAACTCCCAATAAATCAGAACTAGAAAGGAACTTTTTCAATCTGATGACCTATACAGTACCTATAAAAATGTATAGTAGGCTGGGCGTGGTGGCTCACGGCTATAATCTTAGCATTTCGAGA